TAAGACAAGGAATCTAATAACTAAGATCCAATATAGAGGCAAAGAGAATTTCCAATATTATGTTAAAATGGAAGACCCAGAATGGCAAGTATGTAAGAGTTAGACACTGCATTATGGTTGAGGATTCCAGGAGTGGAAATATACTCTATGATGATTTGACAGGGGCAACTACATAGATTCATTGGAGGATATATAATTTTTAACTCCAGAAAAAAACAAAATGTACAAGAAAGGAAGGTGTCCATCTTAGCAGTGCTCAGTTAACTGTAATAATCACTTCATATCCATTAAATTAAAAAAAAAAAAAGAAATCCTGTGCTAAATTCATAGAGAGAAGGAAGGGGATAAGAGAGCTCTAGTTTCTTATTGACCATAACAGAAAGTAAACAATAGTGTATAAAACTGATAGATCAGGAATCAATAGTGTAAGCATATTATTTAGAAAGAGGATATGAATACTAGAAAAAAAAAAACTAAATTGGAAGCTGATATCTCTGAGCAGAATAATGGTTAGGGGAGGGAAATGCTGCAATTTTTTTATTTTTAGTACTACTTTACTTTTTTCCAGTATCAGGGATCAAACTCAGGACAGTACTACTTTATTTTTAATACTGTTCACATATTAACTTGATAAACATTAAAAATAAAAGATTTGGGCCGGCGATATAGCTCAGAGGTTACACCACCTGCCTTGCAAGCGCAAGGACCCAAGTTCGATCCCAGTACAAAAAAAAAAAGAAAAAAAAGATTTAGTCAGACATGGTGATGCATGCCTGTAATCCCAGCTTTCTGGGATGCTGAGGCAGGAAGATCACAAGTTGCACCCAAGCCGGGCAAATGAGTGCCTTAGCAAGACCCTGTCTGAAAAAATTTTTTAAATAATTTTTTTTTGGTACCAGGGATCAAACTCAGGACCTTGTGCTTGTGAGACAGGTGCAGCACCAGTGAGCTAAATCCCCGGTCTTAAATAATTTTTAAAGGGCTGGAAATGTACCTCAGTGTGAAGAACCTGGGTTCAACTGCATGTACCAAAATAAAATAAAATTAAAATAAAATAAAACAAAACAAAACAGTAAACTAAAAGACATAAGAGACTGATGTTCCTCGCTTAACGACCTGTTTAACAACTGTTCAGACAGACTTACAAGGAACACAAGCAGCAGTGAAGCCTTATGTTGGCTTCTTCTACAGACAGTACTGGAATTTTTCTGATTCTGTTATACATTAGAGGACTGCATGCAAATAAAGGCAAATAAATAAAATAAACTTCAAGTTGAAATATCCTTTGACCATTTTTTTGTCTGAATATTTTAATGTAGGTACATTACAGAATGTACATACAAATGTGCATGATGTACATACAGAATGTATGTGATGTGCATACAGAATGAAGGTAATGTGCATAACTGCATAATATGCATATCATGTACATACACAATGCACACACTACATACATAATACACTACAAAATGTTCATACTGTGCATACCATATAAACTATAGGAACATTGTGATATATGTATAATGCACATCATGTGTATATTGTGTGCACTATGTACATGGTACATGGTGTGTGCAATGTACATACACAATGCACACTGTACATGATGCACATACTGTACATATGGCACACACACTTGCACAGTGTACATACTATAGTGTACATACATACTGTGCATAGTATACAGACACGTACATAACCCACACAATGTAAATACATAATGTACACAATATACCTATATAATGCGCAGGGCCTGGCAAAACTGCTTTTAAATCTTGTTGAACATTACGTATGTACAGTGTGTGCATTATGTATGTATACTGTGTACACTGTGGTCATTATGCACATTATAAATATACTGTACATGGCATTCACATTATGTATGTGGCGCATATGTCATATATGTACAGTATGTACATGCTGTGTAGCCAAGGCTGGCCTCAAATTTGCAGAGATCCTCTTGCCTCACCCTCCCGAGTACTGAGATTATAGGGGTGTGTCACCATGCCTGGCTCCAGGCTCACTCTTTTGTAACAACTCACTCTGGAGGAACCTAACTGGGACCCCTTGTGAACTATATTAATCCTTCCAATGGCAGTGTCCCCACCTCTTCCTCTGCCACCTCTCACTCTGTTACACTGGACCAAGTCTCCAGCACAAGAACCTTGGGAACAAATTACATCTACACTAACAATGGTGAGTAATACCCTCTCCTTTGATTAAACTAGAAACTGCTGATCCAGGCATGGTGGCTGTAAATCCAGTAATCAAGAGGCCGAGGCAGGAGAATTGCCATGAGTTCAACATCACCCTGAACTACAAAGGGAGACCCTGCCTCAAAAAAACCAAAAAAAAGGTAAGCTGGGGATTTAGCTCAATGGCACCGCACCGCAAGCACAAAGTCCTAAATTCAATCCCTGGGACCAAAAAAAAAAAAAATTTCTAGAAACTGCTCCTGATTTGCCTGCATTTTTTTCATCCCCCACTCCACTTCCCAGGACCAAGTAACAACACACAGCAGCTGTAAAAATTACAGTTTGGGCCAGAGATATAGCTCAGCAGTGAGCACAAGATCCTGAGTTTCATCTCCACTACCAAAAAATAAATAAAAATTAGATAGTATTGTCAGACGCCCTAAGTAACACAGGCCTTTCCCTTAAAGGAGTGTATTACCAGTATTCTAAATGTAATAAATGCACATGACAGGCCAGCCTAGGCTATGTAGTGAGTTCAAGGCCTGCCTGAACTACACAGTGAAACACTGGTCAAAGTCTCAAAACAAAAAAATTAAACCAACCAACCAACCAACCTGTGGTTGGGAGGAAAGCAATTTTTCATTCAGATCAGACTTCAAAAATCCTGCTGTCGGGGCCAGGGATTTAGTTCAGTGGTTCTGCTGCCTGCCTCAAAAGCAGTTCAATCCCTGGTACTCACCCCGCAAAAATAATCTTGCTGTCATCTCTTCTACCCACCTGTTACCAGTAACAAAGTGTTTTGTTTTGTTTTGTTTTGTGGGCCGGAGGGGGAGGGTATCATAAAAATCACCAGTGACAGCTTCAGGGGAATTTCCATTATTGGCATCTGTATTTCTCCTCCATGAAAGCTGATTTAGACTGTTTCCAAAAATAACATTAGAAAACTTAGGGTTGTCTTGTTATTCTAACAAAAGATGGAATGGAAAGAAGTCAAGAACTCATGTTGTGTTGGTATTTTTTTAATTTTTCCATTGTTTCAGATGGGGTCTTTTGGTTTGGTACCAGGGCTTGAACTCAGGATCTTGCACTTGTGACACAGGCGCAATGCCACTGAGCTATATCCCTGGCCCCGATGGGGTCTGTTATGTAGTTCAGGATGGCTTTGAACTATGTAAGGCTGGCCTCAAATTTATGGTGATGCTCCTGTCTCAGCCACTCAAGTGCTGGGACTACAGATGTGCGCCACCATGACTGGCCAGGAAACATGTAATGTTTTAACTGAGACTTTGCCATGCAAATCTTGGTCAAAGCTCTCTTTGAAGTGGTTTTCTCACCTGTAAAATGAAAATCCTGAAGCACAGCAGTTAACTCTCCACAGAGATCAGGGCTCAGCACACCTTGAAGGGAACCTCTGCGTATTCCATAACTGAAAATATCCTTCCTGCAGATTTGCCTTCTGGGTTTTTCCAAGCTACAGGTAAAAAGGGCTGGAACCAGTGATAGTGTGGGGATTGCTGGCGTGGAGGCAGAGAGAAGAGTTAGTTTATAAGAAATTTATGTTACTGTAATAGCTGGTGTTTTTGATGACTTCTTGCAGCGCTGGGGATCCAACCCAGGGACTGAATCCTTTTATAACATGAACCAAATTAAATCTCTCTTCCTTTAAATTGTAGGTGTTAGGTATTGTGTCCAAGCAGTGGGAAAACTAAAACACTGTTTCTATGGCACATTTCCATGTACATCACCATAGGCTGTGCATTATTTAGTTCTTCATCCTTTAACCTTGACCGTGAACCTCCCAGCCTCAGAACTGTCAACCAAATACATGTAAACTTTATAAATCACCTGGCCTGTTGTTATTGTAACAGAAAATTAAGGTGATAAATGGATAAACTGCTTTTGAATCTTTTTATGGGTCAAAAAGGTTCACAGAAGTTTATCAATTTCCTATGTACAGATAATTAAGTAATTTCAATTCTTACTAATGTGACTGAGTTTTACTATCTTTTAGTTGATTTTATTTCAGGACTTAGGAACACACAGAAACATTTTTCTTTTTTTTTTTTTCCCCGATACCAGGGGTCAAACTCAGGACCTTACACTCACAAGGCAGGCACAGCACCACTGAGCTAAATTCCCAGCCCTACAGAAACATTTTTCTTCAGATAGAGCGAACTTTTAATTTAAGCACTTCTCACTTTTAAAAAAGTAAGCCACTGGGTCCATCTCTGGCTCCCGCCTCCTAAGTGGGCCTCACAGAACTCACAGAGGCTACACATATATAGGGCCACACAAACCTGAATTTCAGCCTCAAAAACTGATACAGGGGCCGGGGATTTGGCTCAATGGTTCTGCCTGCTTATAAGTGCAAGGTCACAAGTTCGATCTCCAGCACCAAAATATAAAAAAACAAACAACTGTGATCTAACTAAACTTCTTTTCATCATAAAGCACCCAGCCTTAGATATTTTGTGTTTTGTTTTCACTTTGTTTATATGGGAAATTTTAGATGTGCAAAGCAATGAAGATACCAAACTATGCTTTTAAAGTGTTTGGGGCTAGGCTTGATCCAAGAGATCTTCAGACCCTAACATACACAGATATAGTAAAAGTTATGAATAAAAATAAAATACATCTCAATCAGGTATTTAGCTATAGCGATAAAAAAATCAACTAAGACACTAAGAAACAAAGACAACATATGATTCTAGAACATCTTAATTCCAAAGAGCTTTAATAAATAAAAAAGCTCCATTATTTCCAAATGTCCAAGAAGGAAATGAATAATCAGTCTCATCAGTATTCATCAGAAAACTAAACAAAAAAGGGAGGAGAGATGAAGACTGATAACCATTCTTTTTCATAAAGATAAAATACTGCTTCCTTAAGTAATAACTCAATGTTATTTAATGATATGAATTGGAGGAAAGAAAATAACTGGTCCATACAGTTTCCTTTACACAGTATTGTACAATGAAATGCCAACTGCACGATTTAAGAATGACTTGCTAAAACATTGAAAAAGTGAAAGACTTCATCCTTGTCATAGACAGCCACTTCAGTGGAACACTCTGTGCACATGACGGGGTGGTAGGTTTCTTCGGCTTCTTCCTGCTGGGCAGGATCTTCCTGGTTAGGTCGCAGCTTCTTGTAGCCCCACCTTTTCTTCCTGTTGTCTGGGTTTTTGTATCTTAGAACTTCCTCTCTGTTGACAGAACAGTTCATCACAAACATTGCTCTGTACTGAGTTTTGTAGGATTCATGCCTAGGAGGAAAATGAAACAGAATTTGGATTTATGGCCTATTTTAAGTTATCTTTTCAAATGAACTTGAGAACACCAAAAATTTACTGCAACACAAATCAAAGTAAAGACATGAACAAAACAGCAAATTTAAGATAATCTCAAAGAGTTGTTTTAAGAATAGGAAGAAACTTTTTTACTGAAAAATAGTACAAAGGAATGGTCTATGCCGGACGTGACAGATATGGCAGTTACCCTCATGGGATCATTACACATTGTATATATGAATGAAATGTCACAGTGTATTCCACAATATATAAAGAAAACACCGGGTGTGGTGGTGCACACTTGTAATCCCAGCACTCGGGAGGCTGAGACAGGAGATCGCTGTGAGTTTGAGATCAGCCTGGGCTACGCAGTGAGTTCCAGGTCGGTCTCAACTACATAGTGAGACCCTGTCTCAAAAAACCAAAAATAAATGAATAAATAAATAAATAAAATTTTTAAAAATAAACAATAAAAAACACATCTTTGGGCAGGGGATTTAGCTCAGTGGTTCTGACACCTGCTCTACAAGTGCAAGATCTGAAGTTCGATCCCTGGTACCAAAATCCATTGATTGGTTGACAGGTAATTGGGCTGTTTCCAAGATTTAGCTATTACAAACTGTGTCACTAGAAACATAGGTACACATATATTCTTATGGTCTGATGCTTTTAATTCTTTTGGGAAGACGCCCAGAAGGGGAATAGCTGGGACCTGTAATCCTAGTTTTTGAAGAATCTCCACACTGATTTCCACAGTGTTTGTAACCAGTCTGCACTCTCACCAACAATGAAGAAGGGTTCATTTCTCCCCCATAGCCCCACCAGCATTTGTTATTGGCTGATCTCCCCATCCCCCTCCTTCTGCTTCTTCTTTTTTTGCTACCAGGGACTGAAATCAGGACTTTGCCCTTGTGAGGCAGGCAGCGGCACCAGTGAGCTAAATCCCCAGGCCTAAATCCAGTATCTTTTTTTTGGTACCAAGAGTCAAACTCTGGACCTTGTACTTTCGAGACAGGTGCAGTGACACCAAGCTAAATCCCTGGTCCTTCCTTGAGATTAGCCACTTTTTTCTGGAGTGAGACAGAATCTCAGTATTGTTTTAATTTACATCTCTCAAACAACCAGTACTACTGAACATTTTTTCATATATTTATTTGCCATTTGTATTTCATCTGAGAAGTATAACTCATTTCAAATGCTCATTTTTGGGTTGGGTCTTTAAATTGGGGGGGGTCCTGTGCTTTTTCAATTCTTTGTATGTTTTAGATATTAGTCCTTTGAGGAACAACTGGCTACAATTTTTTCCCATTTTGTGGGTTGTCTCCTTCACTCTGTTGGTGAATTCTTTTGCTGTGTATAAGTTTTTTTAATAGGATGAGATCCCAGTTGTTGATTCTTTGTGTTATTTCCTGTGTGATCTGGGATTTATTCACTGTCTTTGCACCTATTCCAATGTCCTCAAGAGCATAGGATAAGCGGCTTCAAAGCCAACCATGGCTCCTCTGGGTATTGCTGATCCTAATAATTCTTGCCATTTCTATTACTTATTATTCCTATTCCACATCACTATGTGTTTCATCCAAACAACAGTCCAAAACCTCTTTTGTCTCTTTTATTTTTTCCTCCCTTTTCTCTCTATAACAAAAGGCTGAAAACTAAATTAAAGCTCCCACTAGTGGCCTAACATTCAATCTAAGTTTCCATTCCTCAAAAAAACAGCTTCCTCGAACTTTCTCACCCACACCCCCAAATCTCTACTCCTTACTTCAGGCTTAAAAGTTGCTGCCTGCCTCTCAGGGGCTTATAAAAAGATCCTGACATACTGTCGCATTAATATATCTTTCCGCCTCAATCAACCATCTCTGGATCTTAAATCTACCTGACAACTAGCATGGCAAAAAACAAAAGTTTCCATAGAAAAAAACTGCACTTTATTTCACCATACTAGAACCTGTTTCAAAATAAAGAATAGGGATATACAGCACTCGGGAGGCTGAGGCAGGAGGATCGCTGTGAGTTCGAGACCAGCCTGGGCTGCCTAGTGAGTTCCAAGTCAGTCTCAACTACATAGTGAGACCCTGTCTCAAAAAAACAAAACAAAACAAAAGAATAGGGGATATAGCTCAGTGTAAAGGTCCTGGTTTCAAGTCTCACTATGAACAACACACATGCACACAGAGCTTTGAACAGAACTATGTATATTCAAAATTATTTGTGTAATGATTACTTATGTAGCACCAAGGATGAGTGAGTTCCATCAGTCTCAACTACATAGTGAGACCCTGTCTCAAAAAAACAAAACAAAACAAAAGAATAGGGGATATAGCTCAGTGTAAAGGTCCTGGTTTCAAGTCTCACTATGAACAACACACATGCACACAGAGCTTTGAACAGAACTATGTATATTCAAAATTATTTGTGTAATGATTACTTATGTAGCACCAAGGATGACTACCTCAGAATTCCTGAGGACCTCAAAATTCTGTCCATGATTTAAACAAAAGACCACAGGTTGTTTTTTTTTCTTCCCCCAGTACCGGGGATCAAACTTAGGACCTTGAGCTTGCCAGGCAGGCATGACACCAATGAACTAAATCCCCAGCCCACAAAGATGGGGAAGGGATCAGTAGCAACAAAGCAACCTCTCCTCTAATCAGACTCCAGACACGGGAAAATAACAACTTAGCAATGAAAAGGAGGAATCCATGAATGTCTAACATAGAAAAGAACTGGATTCCATAAAACAAACTCAAATAGAAATCCAGGGGATTCAAAATTCTACTGCAAGTATATGCAACAGAGTCAACTAATCAGATCTCGGAGACAGGGTTGTGGATGGCAACCTCTTATAAATAGCTAGGGGGCCTGGGGACTTAGCTCAATGGAGCCATGCCTGCCTCAAAAGCACAAGGTCCTGAGTTTGATTCCTGGAACCGAAGGGAGAAAAAAAAAAATAGCTAGGGACCATGAAAAAAAAATCAATCTAACAGCTGCTAGATGATGCAAAGGTGACTAATGTAAGGTTAACTAAAATCAATGAAGAATCAGAAGATAACACAAAGGCCATAAAAAACCTGTTCACAGAAGTAACAGCAGAAGCCAGTAGGCTAAGGCAGGAGGATGGTTTCAAGTTTGAGGCTAGCCTGAACTACCTAGTGAGAATGTGTCTCAAAAAAAAAACCAAGAAGTAATATCAGAAAACTTTCAAGCATGGAAAACAAATTTGAGATTGGTTATAACCACTACGGAAACCAGTATGGAGATTCCTTAGAAAACTAAAACTAGAGGTTCCATTTGACCCAGCTATTCCCCTTCTAGGTATCCTCCTAAGAGTTAAAAGCATCATACTACAATGATAATATGCACACCCATGTTTATAGAAGCACAATTTATAATAGCTAATAATTGGAAATAGCCCACATACCCATAAATGATAAGAAAATGTGGCTGGGCTAGGGATGTAGCTCAGTACTGCAGCAGCTGCCTGACAAGTGCGAGGCCACAAGTTTAATTCCTGGTACCGAAGAAGAAAAAGAAAGCCCCTTAAAAAATATGGGCTGGGAATTTAGCTCAGTGGTGCTGCCACCTGTCTCACAGACACAAGGGCCTTAGTTCAATCCCTGATACCAAACAAAAAAATATAGCATTTATATACAACGGAGTACTGCTCTGTCATAAAGAAGGATAAACTGAATCATTTGTAGGAAAATGGATGCACATCAAGACCATAATCTTAAGTCACACAAACTTAAACATTATTTGTCTGTTATGATAAACACAAAGAGTAAATAAGGAACATAAAGGAGGACAGATACCCAGAAATAGGAAGAACATGTTCAAATGGGAAGGGGAAAAAGGGATGCAGTAGGGGGAAGGGAACAAAGGGAAAAGGGGAAAAGAGAAAGGAAAGGAAAAAAATGAAAACAAAGCTTTGTAAATGTGTAGGGGGAAAAGAGTTGAAGGAAAAGGAGGGAAACTGAAAAAAAAGAACTAAGATATATTATGTACAAGTACAAATTCCCTATAATGAATGTGATCGAGTATAACAAACATGTGCTAATACAGTTAAAAAAAAAGACCACAAAGTTTTTTGTTTTCGTTCTGTGCATGCATGTGTGTGCATGTACCCTTTGTCTGTTACCTTTGACAATCAAGGCACAGCGTGGTCATACAGGCAGGGCAATTCAAGACAGCATCACTATTTGGAACCGGCTGCTGTTGTTGACGTAGCCTCTGTAGTCCAAAACCATGATAACTAGAACAGGAAAAACAAAGTGAGAAAAACTCCTTTGAGCCAAATCTTAGTTTCTAATGCTATTCTCCAATGAAAGAACTCAGGAAAATGGCTGACTGTAGGAATATGGCATACACAATGAACCTGGAATATCTTCTAGTGCCAGAAAGTTAAGGAAGCACTCAAAACAATGAGGGTTTTGTCATAACAGAAAGGAGCCAATTGAGTTTTCAATGGCTGAAGCTGAAATACTTCAAGCAACAAAAAAAAGTAGTACAGATTATAATTCAAAGCAAGTAAATATCCACGAGCCAATGATAATATAATAAATGAAAAGGGGTGAACAGACTAATTTCCCACACCACAGAACTCCCAATAACTTAGAAAGACACTCCCCTCACAGTGGTGGAGCATAACTGTCTACTCCTACTCTGGGGCTGGGGATTTAGCTCAGTGGTGCTGTGCCTGCCTTGCAAGCACAAGGCCCTGACTTCACACCCTGGTGAGGGAAAAAAAAAATGAAGCCACAGCACGGTAGGAAAAAAAATCTACTCCTAAGTCTGACTGCACACAATGACTTCCTCTTGCACAGCAGAGTATGAAAGGGTTAGGGGAGGAGAAACCGGACAGTCCTACCTTAGCCCATGATCAAGGTCAGGAGCAACAGTCAAAATCCTGTGGCGAGCACATACCCTTGACAGGATGTAATGAACACAGCACTCTTCCCTCCACTCTTCCTCTCAAAAAGCCAAAAAAGGGATGGGACAGCTCAGTGATCCCTGGGTTCAACTCCCTCCAAAAAAAAAATCTGACAAATTTCCTGGTTACTTTCAAAACAAACTATTCAGCAGGTTTTTTTTCTTCAACCTTATTTCTTGATGGATGCAAATATAAATACAATAAACTGCAAATGTACGGCAAACCATTTTTCGACCATTTTGCTCTAAAGATTCTAAATATTAAATTCAAATTCTTACCCTCTTCTTTGTGCATCAACCCAGGCCTGGTCTCTGTTATCTTTTTCAGGATCATATAGCAATTCATCATTTGTTGGAATCCTGTGCCGTCTCTTCTTTTTCTTCTTGGTTACCTGTGCTAATTTTTAAAAGGGTGAGGCTATGTCTCAGAACTGTCTAAAGTTCACAGTTCTTTAATATAAAAGGAAGAATCGCCGAGCATGGTGGCGCATGCCTGTAATCCCAGCACTTGGGAGGCTGAGGCAGGAGGATCACTGTGAGTTCAAGACCAGCATGGGCTACACAGTGAGTTCCAGGTCAATCTCAACTACATCGTGAGACCCTGCCTCAAAAAAACAAAAACAAACAAACAAAAAAACCCAAAAAATAAAAGGAAGAATCCCATTTCCCAAGATATATATATTTTATTTATATTATGCCAAAAAAAATGTAGAGACATTCTTTTAAAAGTGAAGCCAAGGGGGCTGGGGATTTAGCCCAGTGGTTCTGCCGCCTGCCTCGCAAGCACAAGGACCCAAGTTCAATCCCCAGTACCAAAAAAAAGAAAAAGCCAAAGGGGCCAGGAATTTAGCTCAGTGGTTCTGCCACCTGCTTCACAAGTGCAAGGACCTGAGTTTGATCCCCAGTATTAAAAAAAAAAAATGAAGCCAGGGCTGGGCATGGTGATGCACACCTGCAACCCTAGCACTTGGGAGGCTGAGGCAGGAGGACTGTTGTGAGTCTGAAGCCAAGTCTGGGCAGTGAGATCATCTCAAAAGGGTGAGGGTTAGCTCAGTGGTGCCGCAGCTGCCTGCCTCCCAAGCACAAGGTCCCATTTGTTCCCAGTACCAGAAAAAAAGGGGAGGGGGGAGTTTGAAGGATGTAGCTTAGTGTAAAAGCCTTAAGTTCAATTCTCAGTACCACAAAAAAAGACAAAGCTGATAAAAGCTGCTTCTTCACAAAAACTACAGTCTCAAGAACTGAGCTCACATCATGAGAATTCAGTCTCAAAAAGGTTACTAAAGGAAAAACAATTTTTGATGTATAACTTCTCTAAAAGTTCCCATTTTAAAACACTACTGAAATCAGAACAAAAATAGCTTAAAAATGAATGAAAAGCCAGGTGTTGGGGTATATGCCTATAATCCCACTACTCAGAAGGATGAGGCAGAAGGATCACAAGGTTCAAGCCCAGCACAGGAAATTTACTGAGACTCTGATTTAAATAAATGTAACATACAAATCTTTCACACATCATTTGTGATTCTGCTCCTTATAATCTCCTGTCAGACTGAACATGAGCACTCTCCAATGCGGTGGCCACTGGCTGATGTGGTACTGCGCCCCTGCGATGTGGCCAGTCCAAATCAAATTTTGTGTCACGTGTGAAATGAGCACTGCACGGTTGAGGTGTTAGAGAGCTTGCCTGGCAAAAGGGCCTGGGTTCAACCCCAGCACAGGGAGAGAAAAGGGAGGGAAGCCTCTAGTCTTTTCTTATTAATCAATACTGCGTTTGTTTTCACATCAACAGCCTAAAAGAGAAAACTCAAGAGAAAAGCCTAACATCTAATAATTGTCAGGCAGAACTTTTTCATAAAATATAATTGCAAAGGGCCTGGGATGTAGCTTAGTGGTGCAGCACCTGCTGGCAAGCTTGAGGCCCTAAGTCTGATTCCTGGTACCCCCCCCAAAATTTTTTTCATATTTATATATATATGGATGATTGCTAAGCCGGGCATGGTGGTACATACCTGTAGTCCCAGCACTTGGAGGATGAGGCAGGAGGATTGACTTGAGTTCAAAGCCAGCATGGGCTAAATATTGAGTTCAAGGCCAGCCTGAACTACACAGTGAGAGCCTGTCTCTAATCTGCTAAACACATTACTTACCTGCTTTGTCTTCATCCTCAGAATCAGAGTCAAAATACACATCATCATAGTACTTTGCTGGAGCTATTCCAATTTTTTCATTTCCTGAGGAAGACCCTGTTCAAACCAGAAGTAAAGTTTACAGACTAAAGCACACATAATTAGCAGGGGGAAAACAACATTCTATACACTCTTCCATCACTTCAGAGTAATACCAACTCATTCACCATGCCATTTGGATGGTGAAATATTTTCAGATCAGTGATTCACCCAACTTTCATGCCCTATGCAACTAAAGAAATGCCCTTCCTTACCTCAGTGGCACTGGCCCACCTCCTAAGCACAAAGTTCTGAGTTCAACCCCCAATACCAAAAAAGAAATGCCCTTCCTTAAGTGTTCCTTTTTTTCCCCCCAATACTGAGGATCAAACTCAGGACCTTGTGCTTGCAAGGCAGGCACGCTGCCAACGCTGCCACTGAGCTAAATCCTTGGCCCCCTATTAAGTGTTCCTAATTAGGAGAAAATTATTCTTTCTCTCTTCTCATAAATCTATTAAGTAAAAAAGCCATGTTTTTAGTTGCCAGCATAATATGTATCTACTTTCCAGCCACACAGTATACTGTAAAAAACTGGAATAAACACCTTGCTTTTTTTGTTTGTCTGCTTTAGCTTTTGTTGTTTTTTGAGGCAGGGTCTCACTAAGTAGCTCAGGCTGGCCTTGACCTCAAGATGATCCTCCTGAGTGCTGGGATTACAGGCATGCACCATCATGTCCCTCCAATACCTTGTTTTAAAGGACCTTAGTAGAAAGAGGCTAAGACCTCTACAGGAAGACAAGGTGAATGAGTCAGGCCATCCTCTTCCTGCCTCTGCAGTATTGTACTCAGTGCTACGCCCTCGCCTATACTAATGTCATTATATTACTGTGTCCCTACTTCTCCCTCTGAACTACCACCTGTTTTAGAATGATCACTACATTTTTCAGCTCTAATACACAGCATATCAGAACCAGTGAGATGAGTCTGACTTTCACAAACTACTTCTGAGTCAGGTGCATTTTACATAGACAAGTATCAAAATGGAATGTGTTTCATTACTTACTAAAATGAGACAGGAACTGTGACACATTAAATCTGATTTCAGTGCCACCTAACACTGAAAATACTTTTATAAGTTTGTATCTTTTTTAATCCTGAAGTAAACACTACAAAAGGAAATTATGTAAGTAAACAATACTAACTAGTCTCCCTCCAACAATACATACTTCCCCAGCCATCAAAAAAAAAAACTCTAACTCAGCTGCTAAACACATTTATTTCTTCACTCAACAAGTATTTAGGAATATGAGAGATACCAAAAAGCAAATATAATAATCCTGCCCTCGTGAAGCTTACAATATATATATGACAACTGAACCAGGGCCAGGGGTTTAGCTCCACGGTGCCACTGCCTACCTCACAAGTGCAAGGTCCCAAATTCGATCCCTGCTACCCCCCCCAAAAAAAAAAACTGAACCAAAGGGGTGGGGGATACCTGTTCCAAGAGAAGAGAGCTTGTCCTCCATTGTTTTTATGGTGGAATTTAACTCAGCTTCCATTTCTTTTTCAAATTCATCTTCACTGGAGGACTCACTTTCTCCAGTAAGACACTCTCTGATGAGCTTTCTTTTCTGGTCAGGGGTTCCATGTAAAAGCACATCCACTTCATCTTCAGAACTAGCACACATTTAAATCAGAAAATATGAATACTAAATTAGTTGGACTAAGACTTACGGACAAGTACAAAAGATAAATCCTCTTTTGTAACCCAGAATTCACTGTTCAGTATGAGTTTTGATACATATAAGAAGGAACAGCATGTGGACCAGGTGCAGTGTGCATGCCTGTGATGCTGGCACTCCTGAGGCTGAGGCAGGACGAACAAAACTTTGAGGCTAGTCCAGATTACGTGCTCAGGCCCAGACTCTAAAACTAAAATAAAAACAAAAAAGAAATGACATCAAATACAGATTAAAGTGATGGGGGATGCTGATCACCATTAAGGCTGATTCTGAGACTAAAGAGTATATAGTTAGCATGAGACAGGGCTGGGAATTTTGCTCAGTGGTACCATGCTTTCCTCACAAGTACAAGGTCCTGAGTTCAATCCCCAGTATAAAAAAACAAAAGCATGGGACATAAGCAAAATCTCAGCTCTACTGATGACTATTTCAATTTTCATGCTGTGACACATGAAGTCTGTTTTTTATTTCCCTCCTCCTTAAAACCTTGTCTTAAGAATATGGGGTCTAGGGCCAAGGATTTAGCTCAGTGGTTCTGCCACCTGCCTCCCAAGTGCAAGGACCTGAGTTCAATCCCCAGTACCAAAAAAAAAAGAATATGGGGTCTGGAGTTGAAGATAATTTTGGGGGTGTACCAGAGATTGAACTTAGAACCTTGCACTTGCAAAGCAGGCAGCAGAACCACTGAGCTGAATCCCCAACCCCTGAATATAATGTTTTACTGTGAGTGATTGGATCAAGTTTGTAATAAAGGTAATAGTAAGTCCGGCTGGGGATTTAGCTGAGTGGTGCCACCACCTGCCTTGTAAGCACAAGGTCCTGAGGTGGCTCCCCATACCAAAAAAAAAAAAAAAAAAAAAAAGGCAGTAGTATAGTAAGTAGTACATGATCAAATTAAACCTTCCACAAGTTTTAATTTAAAAAACTAACTAATTGGGAATGGTGTTGTACCTCTGTAATCCCAGATCCTCAGAAAGCTTGAGGCCACTTAACAAACCTTTGTTTCTAAACTTTTTGGGGGTTTTTTTGTGGTACCAGAGATTGAACTCAGGTCCTTACGCTTGCAAGGCAGGCAGTGGAACCACTGAGCTAAATCCCTGGCCCTGTTTCTAAACTTTTTACCCAGGGATTAAGCTCAGTGCACTGTGCCTGCCTTGCAAGCACAAGGACATGGGTTCAAAAAAAATCAAACTTTCTTAAAAGGCAGGGTGAGGGATGTATCTCAATGATAAGAGAACTTGACTAGCATCCATAAAACCTGGGTTCAATCTTCATTATGAAAAAAAAATAAAAATCACTTAAAAATTCCCATGATCTCACTATTCAACAATGTTAAACTCTAGAAAGTTCCATCTGATATACCTATCATATGTGGTAATTCTTAGTACATCAACTTATTCTGCATATTTCCAAATATATGTAAATACACATTTATGTATATATTTACTTAGATGGAGCTTTACTATGCACCTAAGCTAATCTTAAACTTATAGGCTAAAGGGCCAGGATTTACCTCCATGATGCGGCTTCCTGCCTCGCAAGCACAAAGTCCTGAGTTCAATTCCCGGTATCAAAAAAAAAAAAAACAAAACCACAAAAAAAAAAAAAAAAAAAAAA